AGAGATAGAGAGAGATAGAGAGAGAGCGAGAGAGAGAGAGAGAGAGAGAGAGAGAGACGTAGAGAGACAGCTACAGCAATCGAGAGCAATTTTCTATGAACGCTACCCATCGGTATGTCATTGCAGGGCGACTAAACAACATACAGAGCTGGGTGACTGGCTATCAGCCACCCTCGGACAAGTTCAACCTGGGAAACATACTGAACAGGCACCATGGCTTCGACCGCGTCAGCACAGAGGAGAGCGACCACGAGATCGATCCACTCAGAGACAGCGATTCAGACGTTGATGAGTTCACCGTTCCTATCACAAAGGCCTGAGAGCACGCGTCCACATTTTCCGCACGTTCGAAATTCATTCCCTGTCCCTGCCGGCAGCTTTCCTGGAAGGTTTCTGCCTTCTGGGATCAGGGAAGACGGAGAACCCCCCATGATATGAGGATGAGCGTCTGAGGAATGAATTGCCTCGTTTATTTGGGGTACCTAGTGGATTAGTTCCTAGTGCATTGCTCTCTCAACTAGACACGTAGTAGTGTGAAGCTTGTCTCTGATAGGGCGTGTGTCCATATACGTGATGGGCACTTACGTTTATTGGCATGGTCGGTGGAACACTTGCAAGTTAGATTGGGAAAGTGGGTAAAACGAAGTTGTGGCTGTGTTACTTATGAATCTCGATACCCCCCCCCCCTCGTAATGTTGTGAGAGTTTAAGCAAAAGTGGAAATCTCACTGCAATGTAATGGAAATTTCTCTGTTGTCTTTTGAATATCCCACCACTCTGAAATGATCATACCATCACCACCACGATACTTAACTAAAAATACCACCACCATAATATTCGACTAAAAATACCACCATTACAATACCTCCAATAAAAATACCATCAGCATATGCTAATGAAAATGCAATCATACATTATTAAAAAATACTTCTACCACCACCTTTATCACCGTGACCACAAACACCACCACTAAATTCTCATTAAAAATACCACTACACATTGAAAATACCACAGCATGCAGAAATTTCCCTCGGCTGTGGGATGGGGGAAACTTTTGTGCTATATTGTTATATATGGTATGTCTTGAAATGTAGGCAATGGGACTATGTCGAAGTATCTTCTAAAACAAATAGTACTGGTTAGAGCAGCGACAAGTGATTAGGTAGCAAAGTAAGACGTTTTTATGTACTATAGTTGCCGTTGACACTGACGGCCCTAACTGTTAACTCACACGATAACGATGAAAACCAAAGCTTACATTTTTCCATCAGAGTAAACTCACTTGAGACCTAAGTAAATGGTTTCATTACTTAGCATACAGGTGGTACCTCTCCCAGCCCAAGGTATTTCTCTGCTCCTGTAAGCCGAGGCATGCAACAGTATTCTGCTATTATATAAATGGTAGCAAAGTGTAAGATGATGCTATCACAACCGTTTCCATGGCGACACGTAGTAGTAGCTAGCGCGAAATCTTGGTACTATGGGCTTCATGTTTCTATTATCTGTGTAGCAGTAACAATACTACTATGAGGAAAACAAAATCGAACTAACTGCCGTTAAAACATCTCAATCATTGTGTTTATCTCAATGTATAGCTAGTTGACACTCTGTAAATAGTTAGATAAATACAGTGTATAAATGTATAAATATTACCAGTAATAGGTCAAGCCTTTTAAAGCAGGAAGATATCCTTGCGGCGTCCGTGTTAGCCAACTTTTCGTTATTAGTAGAACCAGTATTGGCAATTTTAACATTTTTAATTCTATGATATCTCAGATGTTAAAACTCGGCCTCCTGCTAAGTGTTTCTATTCCAGATTAGTGAACCGTCCCCTATTTCATTCGTGCAAATTTACGCTACACTTTTAAGTGGCAATACAATGTACGATTCACTCCACGCACAGAACAAATTATTATAACCAATCCCATTTTATTTCTATGATCAAAGGAGAAGTTTGTCATGTCCCCAGGCAAAATAGTTTAGTTACGCTCCTGATCAGTAATACTAGCTATTTTAATATTGATACCCGTTTAGTATAGTTCGTTTTAGGAGAAAGGCATTCCACTATGACGTTCCGTATTCAAGCTTGTTAAATGAATTTGGAGAGAGATTTTTTGTACGAGCTGATACTGCAAAGTGCAGCTTTTACATTTTGTTCTGTGATGCCTGTGCTCACCCGTGGTTTTTTTGTCCGTTAACATAGCAAACGCAGCCTGTTCGCTCCCATGTAGCCTCGGCTGAATGTTTGTTAGCGATTCGGTGTTGTGATGTCTCCCAACCTTCTGTAACGTGCTACTGATCACGGCTGCTGGTCTGGTAGTGTTGTTAGTGCTGTTGTTTGCTGAACGTCACAGATACGTGAACGCATCTAAACTGACCAAGGCACCTTGGCAGATACGAACATGCTACTAGGAGAACGTGTTATCTGTATGATGCAATTAGTTAGACTCTGCCATGACAATATTGCACTGCCATGCACTACAGCAAGCTAAAACGCACTCTATGTCACATGCTTGTAGTTTTTTATCCAAGCACTTGCCTGTAATCCAATCGTGTAACCTTCTCTAAATAATTTTCGTGATCATACCAGGAGTATGATAATATCAGGAGTAAGATAATATAGGTGTAAGATATGGAGTAAGATCAGGAGTAAGATAAGATATTATATTATCTTACTCCTGATAATATAGGATCCTATATTATCTTACTCCTGATCATACTTAAAAGTATGACGTACATTATTTTTTTAACTAACCTAGTTACTACTATGGTTGTGGACCATCTACTTGCGCATAGCAATATGTGTAAAGCAAATGAGCAAATATCCGTAACTAAACTAATATATTGAAATACTGTAATAGGCTGTATTTATTTCAGTTGAGGTAAATATCTTGATGCAGTCGGCTGAAAATGATATATAATAACGTCAGTTTAGAGCAAGTACACAGTATATATGTTATGTTATTTATATATGTCATATGAGTTTATGTCTGCATTCATCCAGTTGTTAATGTAACTAGTTATGTGCTCCATGTTGAAAAATTGTATATATGGTAAATAAAAATTTATATATAACATCAGTGTGTTCAATAAATATTTTAACCTTGCCATTTTATTACACTAGCAGTATAGTTCTGTGTAGCAAACCAGGGCCGTGGGCCTGTGCAAATTTCTATGGGAGGCAAATTTTCAAGAAACAATTCCTATATATGATAGGGTTACACTGAAGGGGTAATTGTGTTTTTGTAATTTGTAACCCCCCCCCCAAGTTGCTACGGCCGTGCAAACGATCTTGCCACTTCTGTGGGGTTGAGGACCATTGCAGTACAATGCACGAGACGGAGGGAAGGTGTGTGGGTATTTAACAGCTCTTTCTCCTGCTCGCTTTCGTTCGCATATTCGAAACGTAGCACGTACCTGTTCAATTTGTGGCTATGAGTCGCATATGTATATGTATGCCCTCATATTTAATACCGATCCATTTTAGTCCATGAGGCAGGTGTCAACACTGTCTAAGGTATAACCACACGTATCCGGACGACTACCCCCTGGACAACTACCCCCCGGAAAATTACCCCCCTAGGACAACTCCAACCCGGACAACTGCCACCCGGACATCTACCCCCTAGGGTTAGAGTTAGGATTAGAATTAGGGTTAGGGTTGTCCTAGGGGGGTAGTTGTCCGGGTGGTAGTTGTCCGGGGGGTAGTTGACCGGGTGGTAGTTGTCCTAGGGGGTAATTTTCCGGGTGGTAGTTGTCCAAGGGGTAGTAGTCCTAGAATCGTAACCACAATAGAAATTATAATTCACTTATTGATATAGTGATTATATAATTTGCTAATATTCCAGTTAGGACCAGTAACGTGACCTAGATTGTATATATTGCGTAATGAGAAGATCACAAAAGGAATGAAAAATATAGCCTAAGAAACGTAAAAATGAGAAGTAGCTATATTACAATAACTAATTCAAATGAATTCTGTGCGCCTGTGCGAATGTATCTTTTCACGTTATTTTTAAGGTCGTGAAAAAATACGGAGATGGTCCACGGATGAACCGATCCCTCCACCAGTCACCGAGAGATAAGTACCGATTTATTTGTATTTATAAGTACGACAGTATGCTGCTGGACGTGTACGGGTAAGAGTTAATATTCTATTTTTAGATTATATTGTTTATTATATTAAGAGATTATATTTGGTAAGTATTGTAACCTAAATTAGGTTTGACCATACCTTTCTGTTATCCCCTCTCTCGCTCCATGTATCTCTGTTTCCTCTCTCTTGCTTCTCTGTTACTGCTGGTGCGTGCGTGCGTGCGTACGTCTGTGCGTGCGCGCGTTTGTGCGTGCGTCTGTGTGTGCGTGCGTCTGTGCGTGCGTGCGTGCGTGCGTGCGTGCGTCTCTGCGTGCGCGTATCTGTGCGTCTGTGCGTGCGTGCGTCTGTGCGTGCGTGCGTGCGTGCGTCTGTGTGTGGGTGCGTCTG